CAAGGACGGGGTGGGCATGGACAAAGCAACAGTCTCCACCGGACAGTGATCCAAGGAGAGGCAGATCGGATTGCTTTCACATCACTGGGATAAGCCTCCCTCATGCCAACCACAGGGATACGCCTGTGTGAGCACAAACAGGACTGCGCACCCAAACGGTGACAGTGACAGCCCTGTGCCCACAGCCTGCTAACGGCCTCCCTGAGACGCGCTTCCCCCTTGGAGCCGACCTGGTGATGCCTGAGCCTAGACTGTGACATGCTCTCATTAGCTGGCAAAGTTCCTCCTTGTTTAACAGGAGGTGGTTTCCTCTTCTCCTGACCCCAAATGACACCTTAATCTACAAACGCTGACTTTCCCTAATTGCACCTTGACAGAGAGAGAGGCAAACCCCTCCTTCCCCCTCCAAGGACTGTCATTTAATTAACAGGCAGGTATCTCTCAGGATTTACAGCCCAGCTCTAAGCTGCTACTCTCCCTACTCAGTAACTCAGGCCTGTGAAGGCTCACTCCATTTATCTCTGCATTTCGATAACCGCATTTCTGCTAATCCCTCTCCATGCCAGCTTTCTGGATTTACCTCTCATGGACTCATGGAGAGAGCAGTTAATCAAATGAACAGTCCCCATCTCACCTTTCATTCACTTCCTGGTTGCTGATCTCAAATGTCTGTGTTGCAGATGGCTTCACAAGGAGAGCAATACCTATGCTGGCACCATTACCAGTTTCTAGTTTAATCAACTCTCGTATCTGTCCTACAGACATGACCAGAGATAGCACACATGAAAGAGAGAGAGATCAGAATCAAAGACGTTGGGGCTGGCTGGATATGAAGAAGCATTTAGCCTGTTCCTCCTTCACAAACTGGGATCATCTCTCCACAACCTGTTCTTGACATATGTTTTCTAACAGGTTCTTAAAAAAATTCCTGTATTGGAGACCCTCACAAATCTCAAACAATCTTTTCCAGTGCTTCCTGCCCTCCTGTTAGATGTCTGAAAGCAAGGGGGTGAACAATGTTGAAAGACCATTTTGCACATATTGCCCAGATGGCCGTAGCTTCTGGCACTTGGGGCCATACCATCTGTCCTGCTGGTCGTGAGGGGCAGTTTCGTTTTACTCTGGTTGTGGTTTTGTTTCCATGGTGGGTGAAGCCCACCAAATGGTGTCTGTTGCTTACAACTGTTTTTGTGGAGCATGCTAGGATCTAGCAAAGTCCAAAGAAAACTAGTGTATTACTGAATATGAGTGGCTGAGGGTCAAACCCAAGACCCCTGGATTTTGATGCATGGATCAATAGTCTCTGAGTTAACAGCCGTATTTTGAAAGCTCAACTTGGAGATGATCTGGCTATTTCAGATCAAGTACAGCTCAAGTGAAGATAACAACAACCAAATGATTTGTGCTTAGGGAGCTATACGTACACGTGAACACTCGTGCCCTCACCTTTGACTCCACACTGGAAAGACCAGTGCTGCCATGGGATTGCCCATGCAAATTGCCACAGATATCTCTGTCTTGGCAAATTGTTACCTAAATCCCTTAATGACTTGATAGAGAGGAGATCACACAAAACAGCAGTTGCTGACTAGGTATGTCCTCCCTGTCTGACGATAGTCAGGATCTCTGCAGATTTGGTGTCTTCTCCAGCTTTGAAACTCTACAGTGCCAGAGGAAGTGTCCTGCTGAGCACCTCCAGTGACAGGGTGTGTAAACTGGCCTCCTGGACAAATGCCACTGGCTACTCAATGGACATGAAACATCCAAGAACAACCAAAGTGGGAATGGGCAGGAACTGCAGAGGAGCTCTGCTTCAGCACATCTGCTCTTTAGTAAATACCTTGTCTTTCAAACCTCTGTTGTTCTGCCAGTGAAAGCAAAACTTGGGGTCAAACTGGGGGAAGGAACAACTGGAATTCATACAATTAATGTAGGACCTACAGTATAACATTCTGCTAGCTAAGGCTGCCCAGCCTGTTACCAAACAATGCACAATGTATGTGTTACATTAGCTGAAAAATACAAGTGTGGTAGAACTGAGTGCAGTTAACGTCCTGCTCTTTCCCCATTGCTGCGCATTTCTTAGTTCCTAAATCTTCCCCACCCACCCACAGGCTGGAAAGCAAAAGGGGAAAAGGGCTGGACTGCAGAGGAGGCACTGAAATGCACAGACAGTGCCCTGGTATTTCAAGAACCGTTGTCACTGCCATTATCCATGAGAGGTTTTATCCTGAACTTGCAGAAGTGGAACTAAAGCCCAGGGAGGAGTAACAAGAGCTTTCGGGCCACGCTGGCAGTCAGGAGCAGAACCCTGAATCTCCGGAGCTGGCTTTGCTCGGCTGTGATCAAAGACCCTGCGTGAGGCTGCAAGGTTTGGGAGAAGGATAAATAGCTGTTCCACAGTGAGGAACTCATGGGGACTCTTCTAGGGAGCTGGCATTGCTGCATCCATCACAGTCAAGCAAAGCTATAATGAATGAGGAATTAAACCCAGTCACGGAGTTCCCTTTGATCAGCCCCTTCTGCTGACCTGCCGTGGCCTGGCCTCTCCAAGGGACAGACCAGCCTTTTGGCTAGCGCGAGTGCAGCCTCCTGAAATCAGCAGGGCTGGAGAGAAATCACTCAGAGGAGAGACCTGACCGCATCGACAGCCAGGGAGTCACAACTCCCCGTGAAGACCTCATTTGTCACATGGTTCAACCTGGGCAGAGAGAGAAGAGGAGGAGGAGGAGGCGGGGAGGAGAGCGAACACCAGAGCTCAGCTAGCACTGCTCAGAGCTGCCCTCCCCCTCCGCTGGGAAGGCAGACCTGGAGCAGCAGCAGGGTATTGATGCACAACACAAGCAAGTTTTACACGGAGCGCAGCAGGGGCAGAGGGCTGGCTGCATGCACATATGAGCTTTTCTAGGGAAATGTTTGAAATGTATGAAAGGCTCACATGGTCCAGAACATCATCTCTCCTGGTCGAGCATGAGTGGGCTGCCGGCAGCACAAGGCAGACATGCTGCACACAAGTGGAGCCATCTCTGGGTGGACACTTCTCTGAGGTGCTGGGCAAGAGAAGCCACACACAGACATGTTAACTCACTGCGTCTGTAACGCTTCCCACTTGCTTTTGAGTTTGTGGGAAAGCCAGCATGCCTGGCCTACCAGGACTGCCAGCTGCGCAGGGAGGACTGTGAGACAAGGGGCTGCCCCAAGCCTCGACTCTTAAATGTTCCTGGGAACAGGATGGCTGCTCGCTTTTTGGCTGGAAAAAATCAAAGCTCCCAACTTAGGGCATTAAGCTTGATGGTGACATCAGTGGACATGGAAAAGGGGCTTTTTTTCCCTTCAGAGAAGATGGAGAAGAGAAATAGAAGCCAGACCCTTAAAAAAATTAATAAGAAACAAACAAAAAACCTCAAATCCAAATCTGTCTGCCCAGTTCCCCTTCAGTTTATGGCTGGTGTGGTTTGTTCTCCGCTGTGTGAGAGGATTTAGCTCCTATTGACAGATGAGCTAATCAGTTCCCCTCAGCTCTTGAAGCTTTATCAAAGCCAGTTAATTGTGTTACTGATGTCCACCCAGGCCAGGGCTCTCCAATTCTGTCCTCTGCCAACAAAGCGACACAAACACACACATACACAGGGATCATTTTTTCCCACTCTCAATCACACTAGCAAGAAGATGTCCCCAGTGACTACTGTGCCAACATGTGGGTGCTGCCTAACTCTCTTTCACCCCACTTTGCCACCCTTTGTTCCCAGAGACGTGTGGTAGCTCCAGCAGCATCTCATGTAGGAGCAGGATGATGTCTACAGGCCAAGCTCACATCTCCGTGTCAGCACAGTGGTGGCAACAGTGGAAGGAATTGGTCTGGGTTTCAGCGGGCCCAAGTCCTGTGCTGGAAGGATGCTGAAGCGAAGAGCCGTTTGAACCTGGATACCAGGTTGTGCTGTCCAGACCTCTGTCCCTGCCATTGGGTTTGTTTTACTTCTGTGCTGCTGCTCTGTGATAATGTCTGTCCTGCTCCTGCTGAGGGCTGAACTGGGGGCTGTGCTCCTTTCTCTGGAGTGGCCCTACCCACACAAACACAAATCCACCAAGTCAAGAGGACTGCCTTGTCCCACCAAGTTTCTGGGAGGCTCCTTCTGCCTTTATACCAATGACGGAAAGACCCAGACATGAGGACCTCTCTGGGACCCTCTTTGCTTCCTAGCAGGGTCACTTGAACTGATGTTATCTGGTGGCCTGTGCTTGGGTGGACACTGCTCAGGAGCATGTTTGCAGGTGGCTGGTGTTCACTGAACTGTTTTGGTAACCACCTGGCTGGTGAGGGCCTCTGCCTGTAGGTATCGTCAGCTACGTCCCCCCCATGCCACAGGCCTGCACTGGGACTACAGCTCTTGCTCTCAGGGAGAACTTCTGGGGCCAGGCTGGCAGCATCTGCTTTGCTGTCTGGGCTTGCTCAGTGTGGGACAGCTTCATCCTCAGAGCTACTGCGTACCAGCAACCTGACAAGGACCCCAGGCTGCGCCATGACCTGGGCTGGTTGGGACTTGCAGCTCCAGGGTGGGCCAAAGAAGGGGCAGGACCCCTGCCCAGCAGAGAGACTGGGCTGGAGAGCCAAGGAGTTGCATGTGGAGAGACCCTGCCGTACCCAACCATGGGGCAGTCCCTAAATTAGCTATTCCGGAAAGGAAGGAGTTTCTCAAAAGCCTTACACTCCCCAGCCTCCCCCAGACCTCCCCACCCTCTTCTTGCTCTGAAGAGAGATTTGTTTCTCTCTGGGGTTGCTGCAGGTCCCTCTGCCAGCCCAGCCAAGGAGATACTCCAGGGCTGCCCAGACGAGCAGACAGGACTTTAAAATAGGTGCCACAAAAGCAAAGAGGAGGAAAAGCTGGGGAGGCTCAATCCGAGCCAAGCTGTACCGGCTGGCTCTCCATGCCATCTCCCACTCCTCTCCGCGGGTGAGCGGGCGGGCGACCTCAGCCGTGCTGTGAGATGCGATCACCCACCTATACAGACAATGTCCATGAAGCCGTACATTCCATAGCAGATCTGGAAGAGCAGGTCCTGGCGCTGCCATTTGGCCGAAGGACTGAAGGTCGACCAGATGAGCCACGAGATACTGGCAATGAGGAAGAGGGAACCCAGGATGGCTGCTGCGATCTGAACCTTCTCAATGACTGTCAGAGAGATGGCCTGCCACTGCAAGGGGAGGCGATGGGGAGAAGAGAGGGGACAAGGGGGAGGGAGGAAGGAAAAAACAGAAGAGATTAGTTATGTAGGGAACATTGCTGTTTTACATCATTGTGTTGGTTTTGGAGATCTCAAAGAGCACCCATGACTTGTATGTTGCCCTATGCATAGATGCTTTTACCTGGTCCACATCTGGAGTTGTTCAACAGTGCATGGCCCTGTGTTTCCTGTCAGCATTGCTGAAGAAGAAATGGGGAGGAATCCTGCATCTCACCAGGAAAGCACAGAGACATGAGGGAGGCAGGACAGACAGGGGGCAAGACACCAAAAGTAACATCCCCATGACAGTAGGTCTGTGGCGGCCATCACAAACCAGGACACTCAGTTGCTACCTCAAATAAAGGCCAGGCAGCATCCTCAGCCAGGGCATCCTATTACCATGAGAAGAAGTGTCTCAGAGAGCCAAGTTTTTCTTCGGAGGCCTCCCAAGAGCTGGCTCTGTGCCACTTCGTGAGATCTGACAGGATCACAGCACTAGGTAGGATCTCGCAGCGGCAACGCACATTCCACAGAACTTGTTACAAACAACACAAGTTGCTGCGGTCAGGACACCCTGCCTTTACGTGATGACATGTTCAGGCTGTGTTCCAAGGTAAATGCCAATGCTGCTTCCTCAGAAGAAGAGAAAAATAGAAATAACTCCCCCAAATCCATTCACTATGTCAAATAGCTTTCTATAAGCTACAGTATAAATAACCTAAGCCCGGATTCCTCTCTGTCATCCAGCATAAAACCTCCCCACTCAGATTTACACTGCTGAGAGAACTGCCCTGTAAAAACTAAGAGCAGAAATTGCTTTCTTTAACAAGACTTGGGGACGTGGTCCGTAGCCCCTCCTGCAAATCAGAAATCAAATGCGTAAACAGGCTGGGGAGAGTCTCTCCTGGCATTGAAGTATATAGGCCACCTTTAGCTGTGAGATACACGCCCTTGAAATCTCAGTGGGACTGGCAGAAGGATAAATAAAGGCGGACTTCAACTTCCTGCAGGTATAGAGGATTCAGAGGAACTGAAAATGTTTAGCTGGATTCAGCCCAAATTCAGTGTCCCTGTGAGGTGGCAACTCTGGCGAGCCCTTAGCACCCTCCCTGTTTGTCAAACATATCCTGGGACAGCAGGGTCACCCGTCAAGCCTTGTCCCATCCTTTTGCAGGGCAAGAAGGGAGTTCAGTTGCTGGGTCCCTCTTTAATGCCCAGGCCAGCCAGGAGTTACCAGTGGTTTTTGGGAAGTAGGGAGGACTTTGAACCCTGATTGAAGGGCAAGAAGGCCAACAGGTGACTTGTGCTGGTACAAGCATGCATGGCATTGCTACCAGTCCAATGACCAAACCCCTGAACCAAATGCACTCCCCTGCAAAGGGCTGCCTTTGGATAGGAACAGACAAGAGCTTCAGCCTGAGGCTGAGGTCTGCGGGTTGCAACTGGAAGGAGATTGCCTGGCTTGGCTCAGAGGTGAGCTGAAGTGTCTGCCTCTGCCAGCCTTGTTCCTTGGCTTAGTCCTGCAAGGGCAGACAGCCCTCAGATCGTATGTCAGGGATGTGCAGCATCAGCAAGGTGGGTGGTACCAGCTTATTTCGTAGTTGGCCACAGAGTAGATGGCCATAAAGCTGCTGAGCAGAAGAGAACCTGTTCCCTGCTGAGGCAGGACTGTGCTCAGCTAATCCCAGTCCCCTTCCTGCCATCCGCTCCAGCAGCTGGCCCAGCCAAAGGCAAACGCCGAGCCCTGGGGACACTCAGTGATCTCTTAAACAGCCCGTTCCGACTTCCATAGGCCAACCTGCTCCACACCTCCACCAAATCCAGCCACACCAGTGGCCCCTTTGTGCCACGGAGAAGTTGAGGTAGGGAACTGCCCTCCTCTGAGGGCTGGGAGCTTGGTGGTTCCAGTCACAACGGGAGGGTCAAGGGGTGCTGGAGTCCACAGGAGATGCACAGCTGTGCCGCTCCTCTCCCCTCATGAGACAGAGCAAAAGCCACCTCAGGGCTAAGAGGGGGCCATAGACCTCCCAGCACGCGTCACCCCCAAATTTGGGTTCTGAGGGTGGGATCAGCAGCTATGCTGCCCTCCCGTCAGCTCTTCAGCTTCGTCCTCAACAGCACCATAAGCAGATGCAGGACAAATCTGCAACCGGTGCCACCAGCTCAGAGCTCCAGGACTAGAGGCACATGGCAAGGGGGGGTTGGATAAGTGCGTGGGGTTGCAGGTTTCAGCCCTGCAACTTTCCGCAGACCTTATCTCCCCTTCCACTAACTCTGGCAAACGCCGAGGGGATGGGAGTGCAGGGAGCCCGGTGCACAGCCTGGTGCTGCAAGTGAAGGTTTTACTGCAGGTCCCTCATGCTGACCCGTGTGCGCCTGTGCCAGCCAAATCATTCTGCATCATTTCTCTCTCGAGAGGAGGTAATGGACTGGCTCCTCACCATCTGTCTGGCACACTGCAAGGCCTGTGGTGGCAACAGGTCCTTCCAAGGTAGCAATTAAAGACGGAAAAAGAAGAAGGAGCTGTTTTCTACAACTAGCAGCCATGTACAACTAGCACCACTGCTTTGCAGAGACAGGGAGGCTTAGGTCCCTGTAGTACGAAATACACCGTGAAAGGGTCTGTGGCTCAGGGCACAGAGAAGTTACACCTGAGTGCAAACTTCAAACCGCACTCCCTTCGGTTGGGAACAGAGGGGCTGGAATACAGGCAGGGCTACGGACTGACGCTGCTCAGCTGGCAGCAGCTGCCGGGAAGTTCACTGTGGCGGTGATGAAGAGGCTGGAGTGCGTCCGCCCGGGCAGGGCGGGGAAGTCCACTGTGGGGTGGATGAAGAGGCTGGAGTCCGTCAGCCGTGCCAGGGGGTAGGAGACTCTCCCCCGGCATCTGGCACTAAGTGACAGTGACACACGCAGCAGCAGTCCTGACTCTGTTCAGGAGGTGGCACTGAGGTGTGATTACCCTCTGGCAAGGAGGTAAATGGGTCAGAGCTGAACACTGGGGAAAATAACCAGCTTGCAGAAGAATTTAATATTTTCCAGGGGAAAAAAAAAAAAGGTAAGTAATAAATGTTGTATTTCCTCTCTGGCAACCCCGAGAACTGCAATTTAGCATCACACATCTAGCCTGAGCCACCAATAACCAGAGTCATTATTTTTCATCTTTTCATCTTTTAATTCCATTTTTCTATACATCCTAGGGTATGAGGTTTGCACAGAGAGAAGAAAAGGGGTGAGACAGAGGATAAAGCATGTTACCCAGTGGGAGCGCAGACAGAAGGGTCCAAGAGCTGTTCAGAGGTGGAACGTGCTGATGAATTTCAGCTGCAGGAGCTGGGCCTGATGCATCCCTGCACCGGTGGCCTCAGGAGCCCGCCTCAGTCACAGCACTGTGCCTTTCAGATTTCATAATAGCCCTTAGAAAATCACCCGTTCTCCTAGCCCCTCTCCACTATCATTATGGCCAGCAGACCAAGGATCTGGTGGGTGACCCTGTTGTCCTCAGGTCACTGCTACAGCTGCAAAGAAAGGTCTCAGCAACGCTGCAGAGTCCCTTTACCGGCACGTCTGAAACCCCCAAAGCTCTTTGTCTGAATGCCTGGCTGCAGACACAGCCCCCTCCCTCCCAATGTCCAGCTCAAATGTTCAAGCTCTAGCAAGGTCACAGTGTCAAGCACTCTCACCTTGTGGGGAGAGACCTAAAACTGAGCCCTTCATTCCTCAGCTGATAATGACTGTTGAGTCCCAGGTAGCCGCGGAGCTGTACTGAAGTGCATCTTTAACAACCAGCAGCTCACCCAGGCTGTCAATCAGGAATGTGACCTTTAGGCAGGTAGAAAGCTCTACAGATACTCTGCCAGTGCTGAACAGGGCAGAACTAAGGACCTGGTGGTACTAGAAAGCTTTAAAGGTCCTGCAGGATAACAGAAGCAGCTTTGTGAGCTCTGGGCTTAAAATGGCTTCAGAGCATGCCCAAGCAGCTCTCTGTGATGGCTTGCCACCCATGCTGGAAAAAGGGCTCCATCCCTCCACACCGTTCTGAAGGAATGTCCTCATTCACTCAGGAGCTGTCTGTCTGTCCTCTGCTACACCCTCCCTGGCTGCAGACACAGCCCCCTCCCTCCCAATCTCCAGCTCAAATGTTCAAGCTCTAGCAAGGTCACAGTGTCCTTCGGCACATGACCCAAATGTGCACGTGCAAAACACCATGCTCTCTTGGACTGATTTTCCCCAAGTTTCCCCATTTTCCCCAAATCGCAGAGCTCTGCGACCCAGATGCCTCAGAAAGAGTTTCCAAGGAGCCCAGGTCTGACATTTGCGATGACCTTAGCCAGGGGCCAAGCTGGGACCGGTGCCCGCCAGTCATGTCACTCTTGTTGTCTTGCACTGTTTCATAACTTCCATGTTGTATTCGGGACAAACCTGTTTCCCTGTTTGCTTCAGTGCTTCTGCTCAGAGTGCTCTTGTGAGTGAAAACTCCCGCTGCTAATGTAACACAGATTAATAATGTCATTACTATAGTATTTAAGGCCTGATCCGTATTTCCCTTTCTTTGGCAGCAGCAATCTCCAAAGGTTCCCAAGCACCAGCATGAGCAGATCCAAGGCAGATATTTGCCTGCAGAAGATATCTATGTCTTACTGCAGCAGCTTGCAAAGAAGACTTGCTTGCTGGAAAAGCCTTCCTACGCTCCTCTGAGAGCTCCCCCATGCCTGCCTCAGGCAGTTCAGTTTATTTTTATTGCTGTATCTGACACGTCCCCTTAGTACGTATCATTAACATCCTGAGCTGTGCTAGTCAGCAATTTAATTTTCAGAACCAGGATCACAAGCAAGTGGAGGTTTTTCCTAGAAGGTTGGAGTGGACCATTCCCAGCACTGCTTAGGTCTGGATCTCCCCTCGCTGCTGTGCCGAGGCCCTGGTCATCCTCCTCAATTATCTTTTGGAGGATGGCTTTTGTTTTTATAAATTCACCAAGCAAAGTTATGCCACCGCTGTGATAGCTTCTCTGCTGCACATTTACAGATGCTGTGGCTTATTCAGACACTGGAAAGGCAGCAGGGAGGAAGGAGGGTCCACTAGGGCTGTGTAATGGAAATATGCAGTGATGAAATCCCCTCTCCTCCATGTGCCAGAGCATCTGGTAAGACTCAGGCTACAGTATTGGTATCCTAGAAAGTCCCCGTTATAAGGCACAGGCCATGAAGTCTCTCTTGCTGTGATTGCACCCATTGGTTGCAGGCTGCAGGCTGAAGCTGGAGCTCAGCAGGGTCCAGCCAAAGCTCATACTCAACACAAGTGATTCAGCAAGTTGGGACAACCAAGAGACACCAGCGAACTTTCCTCAAGCTTTTTAGCTCAGGAGCTCAGGCTGAAGTTCAAACACCCTGGGACCTCAGCCACTTTTCTTGCAGCTGTGAGTGTCCTGATGAAGAGGCCATATGAACAATCACTCATCAGAGAACACAGCATCACCACAGTCAAAATAGAGCCAGATGAGAACTGGGTCCGAATCCCAACCCCAGCACTGGATAACTGAGGATCTTTGGAGATGAAACAACCCACAATACAGGAAGAGTCAGAGATAACAACTGTAAAGCAGAGTTGAACTCCCCGAGACTGCAGACAGATGTAGGTCTGGGTAGGTTGGTTCAGACAGATTTTCTATTTGCTAAAATCAGAGCATCAGAGTGGATGTGGCTCAGGAACGGCTACAAAGGAGCTGTATAGATGAAATCCACTGCAGAGTCCAATCACAGCAGATACTTACTCCACTATGTATCAGCACCAGGGTGCCTGCAGTACTATCACGTGCTTCTAAAACCCTGTGTCTTCAGGGCCTTTTTAAAATCATAGGCTTTGCACAAATATTGCAATGGAGAGGAGCACTTAAAGCCTCCATGCCCATGAATCCTGTCTCAGTGACTGGCAGACTGGAGAGCAGGAGGATAGATGGATAGATGGATGGATGGATGGACGGATGGACGGACAAAAGCTCTGGATCTTCTGGTTGCTCACAGCTGGTGGGATATTTTTGCTCATTTACTGCCTGACTGCTGCTTGGCAGGACACTTGCCATGTTGTCCAACAACTTTAATCCCCCAAACTCAGGTTTGCAGTGTTGCTGCTTTAAGACCTTTGCTCTTAAATGCCTGCAATCCAGGGATGGGGGGGAGGGTTAATTTATAGAGACTCACTCTGCCAAAATACCAGGCTAAAGGCCTCTCTCTGGTATGAGACATCATAACAGCCTGGAGGCTGGAAGGAGTCTGTGTTAATTATGCATGAACCATATTTCCCAGGCTGTAACTTCTCTGCCCACACCACGAGTCTCCACACACATCTGGCCCATGCCGTGCTCCTAGGCACTCCAAAAACTGTGCAGCAGATGTCAAAATGGGCAGAGAAACACGCAGATCCCGGGGAACATGTGGGTGTCGGGTGTGCTGCTTTGCTCGGACCAATTCGACGTGCTTCAGGGAGCCCAGGGCTTGCCAGCTACCTGGCTTTGGCTTTCCAGCAGTCTGTCACGTGAGAGCACACAGGGATAGTCGCAGGGGATAAGTAGGCCACGTTGCTGGTTAAAATCTAGCCAGGCTTAGAGCATCACCCAACCAGGTTTCATTTGACAAGGAGGTGAGGTTTGTGTGATCCTTGCCTGTATTACGGTTGGTCTGGAATAAAGAGGCAACCACGACTTCCTACAGCATTTGCCCTCCAAAACCTGTGCTTGAGAAATTCAGAGCTTTCTAGTAAGAATAAAGCTGGGCAGAAGTTCCAGCAGACCCCGAGAAGAAAGACCAGGGACTATTGCTTTACTTAGAGACATGCTTGTATGTCCAGGTGGCCCGTTAGCCATGTGTGGGGTGAAGTCCAAGCAGAAAGGATGCTCTTCCCGCCTGCACGCGCTGTGACACATTGTTATGGCACATAGCGTCAAGGCATCGCAGCCCCTGGGTCCTCTCTGCCTCCCTTTCCCAGCGCCAGAGGATGGTGAGAGCCACTGCGGAACTAGGGAAACCCCGATGGCGTGTGTGGTGATGGGTTACGGGGGGCCGAGCCCTTAGCCCTCGTGGGAAGTCCAGGCTTGGTGCATCAGCCCCTTCCCACAGGATTTCACATACTAGTGCTAGTATAGCGTCTGCTTCCCAGAAGTGCCTTTGTGCTGGCACCAGACAGGGCACCCGGGCACGCAGCTGTAACTCCACACACACCGCATTTATTCCAGACCAAGGGGCTTTTCACTCCAGTTGCTTCTTCCCACCCTCTAAATCTCCCAGTGCTTCTGCGAGAAGTGCTGTGAAGTCTAAGCCAGCAATGTGGAGCTGCCGAGCCCGGGGTCTGCACGGTCCTCTGGGACCCTCGCTCCTGGAGCTGAGCTCTCTAACTCAGTTGCTCCTGCCACTCAGTTTTTGTGCTCGTGGCAAAGGCCAGCAGATCAGGCCACTTTCTAACAGGGGAGCCCAGAAAGAGCAATGCTTTGCACAGGCTTTTGAAACGTGTGTGGGAGGGGAGCTTGTTCGTGAATAGCCCCAACAAATTTTAGCCGAGTGAGGAGCAGGAGGAAAGTCACTGACCCGTTGCCCTGAGCCACCTGAAGGTGTAGAGCATTTGGAGGTCATTCATTAAAGGCAGTGCTGGCTACACATACGCTTGCAAATCTGCACCCACAAACATTCAATGCTGCTCAGCATCGCACCCCTGATCTGAGGCACAAGAAGCATTAGGGCACTCATGGACCAGCTTTCCAGAAATAAACAAACGCTGCTTTGTCCGCATCTCCCCTCCTGTGTTTCAATCTGCTCTGAGTTACTAGAGCCAAGAAATTAAAACACCCTGGGTCCGGGGCTTGGGAGGAAACTACTGATCTCTCCAGCCCACGGCACATGGAAAATTGAATCCGAAGCTGAAGGGACTTGCAGAGAGCAGGCAGGCTTTTTTCTTCCCCCCCAGCAAAATTTCCCCACGATGCCCCACTAATTTCACTACTTCATTTATGTCTGGAGTCCTAAAGGGCTGTCCCTGTTTCCTCACTGTGGTTAGTGACCTCAGGCCTGGAAAAAGACACACAGAGACTGCAGTTTGGAGGAGAGAGCAGGAGTTTGCATTCCCTCCATCCCCGTACAACTGGGCACCATCACTGGCAAAATCTTTGCCTCCTGTTACAGAGCAGAGCAACCAGCAGAGAGCCAAAGCCAGGCCCTGGACAGACCAACATACTTATAGACATTGCCCCGATCTCTAAACCACAGCATGCTACTGTAATGTCTCTCCAGTCCAGATGATGCTCATTAAGCAGTAATGCCTGGGTATAATGTGCTTCCTTACGCCTGAGGCACTAATGGTGCTCAGCAAAGACATGCAGCAATTAGTCCATCTTCAGGTGTTGCCCCCGCAATAAATCAATAGCTATTAAGGATAATTTATCCCTTTTTTTAACAGTCACACAGTTTTCCCCATTCTGAGTCTTGACTTCTGTTACCAGCCTGCAGTGGGGCTTATTAAACTACAGTGCTTTTGAACTCGGAAGAGAAAAAAGGTGGGTCCTCTGATGTCTTTCACAGCCACTTACATCAAGATGTGCTTTACCTGTTGTGTGCACATCTGCAAATGTCCACCAAGAACCAGGGTTGGAGAGACCAAGAGCATCAGAACTAACACCCCTTGAGCCATACCAGGACGTATTTGATCATGGGGGAGCAGTAAAGTGAAAAGGATGGCAGGATCAGAGTGGAGAGCTGTAAGACCCCTCCATCTACCTGCTCCGTCCCTCATGCCAACACAGAGAAGGCCCAGCAGGAGATCGGGGTTAATGGCACAACTCTAGACACACGGGGTCTCAGGATACTGCTCTGCCACAGACTGCGTGCCCTGTTGCAGCAAATCCCGTAACTCCTTCGTCCCCATCGGCCTCCGGGGACAGCGGCATACCTGTGGTCTCCAGTGGATGAACACGTTTGAAGGGCTGTGAGGTGTTACAGCACTATCGTGGTCACACTGGTGTTTTCAAAAGGAGGAAAATGAATATAGGAATTGTCAAAAGACGGAAAGAGCAGACATCCGAGGGATGCCCCCGGTACCACCAAGCAGAACATGGGGCCTCTTTGGACAAGCCCCCAACAACCCTTTCTAAGTGTCTCAGACACACAGATCACTGTGCACAGGGAAGGAAAACCCACGCAGGTAAAATCCACTTGCTCCCAGAAACAAAAATAGAAACGAGAATAAATAGACTTTGAAATGTCTCTAGTACCTTTACCTGCAGAGGGTTCTTTGTGCTTATGGCAATGACGTGATACTTGTAGTAACACAGCTCACAGCTCCAGCAGCCTCTCTCGCTAATCCATTTGATCAGACATGGCTGGTGCGTGCACTTCACCGATCCATCGCATCGACATGGGCTCAGCAACTCCCCCTGAAAAAGAGAGACAGCATCAGCGAGGCTCCCCTCCTCCCACAGGGCCTGAGCACGGCACGGCGTGGCATGGCAGAAGCTCCATCATCCACCCATTTGCTCTTTGTTCCTTTTTTCCTGGTTTGGCTTAGGTAATCATGCTGCCTCCTTCATTTTTCCCTCTAATAATTCTTGGCTGATGTGAACAGAGTTTGACAGGGATGTAACGGTCTCAAATATTTGGGCCCTACAATTTTTTGTGGAAAGAGACAGCTGTCTAGATGAAAAACACCTAATATCACCGCTGAAGGAAAAGCTAGATGAGCACAGCTCTTACTAGACACCAGAGCACCTACACCAGACCATAACAAGTGGGGACAGCTCTGTTGGCAACCAGATGCCACTGTTTCACTGCTCAGGTTTCTGTCTCTCTGCTACCTATTTTAGAAAGTGAGATTGGTGGTGGGGATAGCTGCGAGACAGCCTCTGCTGCAGGCTGGTGTCCCGCTCAGCCCAGGGCAGCTTCCTTGAGCCCAGCCGGGCAGGAGGGGGAGCACAGACATGGTGGCCCTTGGGCTTTCTGCGCAGGCTGGCTTGTGCCAGCCGTGGAGGTGCTGCTCCTCTCCGAGAGCTGGACTGGGCCCATGCGGTACCTCCCAGGACTGGCCACGCGGTGGGTGTTTGCAGTGCTAGGCATAGGTCTCTCCTTCCCAACGCTCCCGGACCGGGAGGGATGAACCTGACCATGGGGTGGAGGTGCATGCTTTGGGTCCAGGTCTTTGTGAACCCATAGCCCAGCAGGGAAAAGGTCCTCAAATTTCACTCCCTGTCCACTTCCCCCAGACGTCTGTCCCGAAAGTGAGTCATACTGATGGATAGCCTGTAGCCCTAGAAGCTTCTAGGCTATTTCCACCCTAGAAGCAAGCAAGATGGAAAACAAATTGTGTCCTGGCTTGTGACACGCAGACATTTATGAGTGGTGGCTGAAACACTGATCCTCCTGGCTTTCTTCCTTCTTTCTGATGTAGCTTTAGACAGGGGTATCCAGGAGACCTCAATATTATTCTGATCCACCTGCTATCGTCCTGGTCACCATGGGACTAAATTCCCCTCTACACACACAAGCTCAGGAGCTCATTTTACAGTCATTTGCCATCACTTATTTAGGGAAGACCAGAGCCATTACATTTTACTCCCCACCTTTTAGTGTTTAAAAGCCACAGCGTAGACCCCAGTTGTGTACTTAGCTGTGCTCCAAGATTTAAAAGCTTTTAAAGGCAGAATGAGAATATCTTTGGGATGGGGAAGGCTGGCATCATACTTCCAGTGCTGAGGAGTTCCTCTTATACCTCTACATCAGCCCCATCATTACCACCAACGTAGTACAAAGATAACAGACCCTGGTGTCTGAGGCTGCTGGACACAGTAAAAGACATCCATCCCAGCTGCCGTGGGTAGGAAACCAGATCCTGCTCTTGCTAACCCTGGTGGGAAACTGCCTTAGCTTTCAGGGTACCACGTCAGGTCTCAGGACCTGAGGAACTGAGCACCACACTGGGCAAGAGTGACACTTTTTTTAACGAAACCTAATGCAAACATGTTAATAATTTCACTTGCTTCAGCTAGGTGACCTAAAAATGTCATCTCCCATGAAATTTTAGCAAAACTGTAAATAACTGTTTACATTACAAAACAAGGCTCAGCTCCACCTGTCACTGGTTTTCATTACATGCAGGAGGGGACGCAAAGGGAGAGGGGGAGCAAGGAGGGTTGTAGGATCCGTGAACCTTTTTCACCTGGAAAGGTGTGTGACAGGAGAAGCCAGGAGAAGGGAAGCAGGGAAGGATTAGATGGGAAGAAGGTGCGTGTGGGAAGGAGCGCTGACATTTGGCATTCAAACTCCTCGTGTGAGGTGCAGTTTAAGGGGCTCAGGTTCAGCTGTGCATATTTGTGCCCCTTGCTGGGACTGGGGTGGGAAAGCACAAGTGTGATAAGGAACCCACATGAGCACGTACTGCCAGCCAGGATGCAAAAGGAGAGTGATCAGGGCTTAGCACAGCTCCTCCGCATCCCCACTCACCAAACCTCTTCCACACCAAGAGCTAGCCTGCTACAAGGACTGCTGCTCCCTGCCTCTGGTCTACCCTCCTCATCTCAGTCCCTGATACTTTATTTTCTCAACAGCTTCACTCCTCAGTGCACAAGCATGATCCCAGCACCAAGCAGGTAATGCAGAAACCTCCCTGCTCTACAGCATCCCTGCCTTTCCACCTCGCTGCACACCGGGGTCTCCTGCAGGGCTCAAAAGGGCGAGTGAGGGGCCTGGGTTTTATCTAATGAGCAGCTGGAGGCACTGGTGATGAGGGATCAGGAACAGGGCAGAACGGAGCAGAAACTAAGAGCAACAACCTCCAGGCAAAGGCAGAGGAGAAAATCTGTAGCTGCAGCCTGGACTCACGGTGCCTTCTTGGACTCTGTAATAAAGGAGTCTAAAAAATCTGAGCTTGTCTCTTCAGAGCCAAGAGATGTCCATAAACATCCTACACTGCCGTGGGGACCTGCTCCCCCTTCCCTAATGGGGTGCTCCAACCCAGACAGTCCTGCCGGCTCCTGCAAGAGCTCAGGACTCAACTGTGGAGATGAATCCCCCAGTTTCTTGATTTTTGCAAGTCTAGCAAAAACCTGATTTATCACATTTTCTCCAGCCGTGTGAAATATTATATCCTTGCATGTGGCGCACAGCTATTTTTGCATACTGTGAAGCCCAATTCTGTCCACAGCAGGCATTCATAAAACACTGCCACATGCACACACACGCACACGCCTTCCTGCACCAGCAGAAAAATAAACACCAGGGGCATATTAAAGGAATAAATCCTTTGTACAGCAAAGGAGAAGGAGTCTCATCGCTGGCTGTACAGCGAGCTCAGGAGCAGTCCATTGGCTGTGATACGCATGAAGGATTTGCTGCGCAGAGACCTCTGCTAAAAGCTACACGCACGCAAAAGCAAGCCCAAAATGAGGTGCAGATCACAGCAATTAGAGATGGAAATTAAATCTCCACGCCTGTTTCTGTAGGTTTGCAGAAGTCAGCTCTGCACAGCATATTCTTCAGTGCTTCAAACAACAGTGTTCCCACCAATTCCCTTTGGGGACTGCTCTCCAAAGACCCTTTGAAGGGTCTACTTCCCAACACTTATTTTTGCAATCTTCTTTTGTAGAGTTACAACCCATCACTCAGATCAGCCTAAGCAGCATTTCTGCTTTGTCAGCAACTTGCTTAGTACCATCTTGTTCCCCTGAAACAACCAAGTGGGCTTAGGACTCAGGGCACCTGCCTTTTTTTTGTTGTTATCCAAGTCTAAATCAGGGTTCATGTCAAAGATGGAAAACCAGAGTTAACAAAAAGGGAAGGGTGGCCCTGGCTTCAGCCATAACCCTCTCAACATATGTATGAAATACTCTTCCCTATTTATTATTACTCTTCCCTACTTCTGGGAAGAGTAATATATTAAACAATTATGTATAATATTCTTCCCTATTTCTGGCTGTCTCTAGGAGCAGCAGCGGCAAGGCCAGGCTGAACTGGCTTTACCCTGAGGAGGACGGTACTGCTGGAGACGAACCGGGAGTACGGGTCTGTTCCAGCTCTGTCCTTTCCCTATGAATTCCCAATCTGTGCCTCTTGCAATACGTCAAAGTGGTTAATGATTATCTGGGCCCTGCTATTTTAAGCCTACTGGGAGGAGTTCTGAGAAAGGATGGAAAAAAAATTATTGCCAGTGCTTCTGATTCTCGGTATATCTAGGGAGAAAATAACGACATCAGGAGCAGCGTGACCCCTGTTGCGTTCTGGTGTCAGTGTTTTGCACGGCCATTTTATCCACCATTTATCAGTGCTGGGAGCCCATCCACATATTGTTACCACAGCTGCAGCTGCTCACCCACCAGCAGGTGATCATGGGATGTGTTTCCCAGGCCTGTTCTTTTAACTATAAATTAAGTATAGCAAATTTGCCCACCCGGTCTCCTTTGAACATGGCTGGGGACGATGGAGTCATTGGGCCAGGACTGGTCTTCTGGGCTCTCCCAGCTCCGGCTGTGCTGACCTACATCTGCTGCCCGGGCTGCTCCTGAGCACCAGCTCAGCTGGAAAGAGCCACATTAGCAACGTCCTGCTACCACAACTGTTAAAGCAAACATTTTGAAAACCAGTGCAAGGTGTAGAGCAAACCCGGGTGGCTGATGGTGATCTTAACACCTGCAGTTTTTCCTCAACTGTGTGTTTTCCCCGCTCAGGTGTACAAAGCAGCATCAGTCGTTAGCATCACCCGCAGGACCAGTGCCCCAGGCCAGAGTGGGACAGTGAGAAGAAGCTGAAAGAGTCGTCCACATCACAAGGGCTACCATCTCTCTCTGGGTATGCACATGCAGCTGCCACTGCTCACAGGAGTAACTGCACGCATGGATCTGACTGCATTTATCTGAGTTTGTCTTGTTTGGAAAAGGAAACCAGGAATATTTAATTTCAGGTCTTCAACTGAGTCTCCTAAATACACTTAAATCTTCACATTGAATTTAAATGCAATGGGAAGTTTTATTATGGCAAATAAATGCCAAATGATTTCTATATTAGGAACATAATTACAGAGGAATTAAATCCGATGGCAAAGAGAAACCCATTGTTACAGAGCTGGTAAACTTCAATAAACAGGTATTAATGATCACTCTGTCTTCACACACACTTACTGGAACTGCCCCTCCATGCTTTTAAACCTAAACACACACATTACTATCACATCTCAAATGTTTCCCATGAGTACCCTCCCATGTGAGTGCTGTGCCAGCCAGCAACAGACAACAAGGGACATGAAATAAGTATCTATGAAAATGTGTATATATATATGTATATATTGCATGAAAATTCTCCAGCATTGTGGGAGATTGATGCAGAGTGTGGACCCAGTGAGGAGTGGGCTTATGTCTCCTGTGGTGTCAGCACAGGACGCGGTTATGTACGG